CTTTATATACTAGACGAGAGTCTAGTTTATACAGTAGGCTATAATCTAGTTTATACAGTAGGCGAGAATCTAGTTTATGCAGTAGACGATAGTCTACTTTATACAGTAGACGACTGTCTACTTTATATAGTAGACGAGTGTCTACTTTATATCGTAGACGAGTGTCTACTTTATATCGTAGACGAGAGTCTAGATTACATAGTAGACGAGAGTCTAGTTTATACAGTAGACAAGAGTCTAGTTTATACAGTAGACGACTGTCTACTTTATATAGTAGACGAGTGTCTACTTTATATCGTAGACGAGAATCTAGATTACATAGTAGACGAGAGTCTAGTTTATACAGTAGACAAGAGTATAGTTTATACAGTAGACGACTGTCTTCTATATGAAGTAGACGAGAGTCTACATTATATAGTAGACTAGAGCCTAGTTTATACAGAAGACGAGTGTCTACTTTATATCGTATACGAGAGACTAGTTTATACAGTAACAAGACAGTCTAGTTTATATAGTAAACGAGAGTCTAGTTTATACAGTAGACTAGAGTCTACTTTATATAGTAGACGAGAGTCTACTTTATATAGAGTTTATACAGTAGACGATAGTCTACTTTATATAGTTGAAGAGTGTCTAGTTTATACAGTAGTCGAGTGTCTAGTTTATACAGTAGACGAGTGTCTATATAGTAGTCGAGAGTCTATTTTATATAGTAGACGAGAGTCTAGTTTATACAGTAGACGATAGTCTACTTTATATAGTAGTCGAGTGTCTACTTTATATAGTTGAAGACTGTCTAGTTTAAACAGTAGTCGAGTGTCTAGTTTATACAGTAGACGAGTGTCTATATAGTAGTCGAGAGTCTATTTTATATAGTAGACGAGAGTCTAGCATATACAGCAGTCGACTGTCAACTTCATATAGTAGACGAGAGTCTAGTTTATCATATAGTAGACGAGAGTCTAGTTTATACAGTAGACGGCTGTCTACTTTATACAGTAGTCGAGAGTCTACTTTATATAGCAGTTTAGAGTCTACTATTTTATACATGATGAGAGACCAGACTCTCGGTTTATACAGTAGTCGAAAATCAAGTTTATACAGTAGCTCATTTAAAGGACTAAATTCTTCTTTATACTACAGACTAGAATCTAATTTATAGATTCTTTAAAACGTCTGTCTTGTCACATATTTTATTCTGTTGTAGTCATTTCTGCTGTCTTCAGATTATTACTGTTCTTTCTTGTGCATAAAACTCTATTTTTATCATAAAATACCGGCTACTCTAAGCACCACCCAACTCACTAAGCACTAAATGCATAATCAAGAAAAAATATGAACAAAAATTTTATTATAAAAATATGACAACTATTTTTCCAGTTCTTTTTGCTGTTACATGTTATTTTAATACTTTTTCCTCAAAAAAAAAAAGAAGTATTAAATAAAAAACAACATATTTAAAAAACTCATAACATTTGTTTAGAAAATCAAATAAAAATAATAAAATGTTGCGTTTTTTAATGAGTTCATTTGCATTGAAGCATTTAGAAATGGGTGATAAACAGATTGAAAGCGTTAAAGCCGCAAGAAAAAGTGGAAATAAATTAAGAATTTTTGGAGGGAAAATGTTTAAAACTAAGGAGACACTAAAGCTTTTCAAAAGATAAAGTTTAAACATCGGTAACTTGACCTGTCCTATAGGGTTACAAAATGCTTGTAATTTATATTAAACTTTAACCTTTAACCTTTCCATATTAATAAATAATATTTTTAAACTTCTTTATATACATTTTACAGTCTGCTTCTTTTCTTTCCAATCTCTTGCCTTTGTTTCCATTACTTTCAACAACTTTTTTATTCCATTTTGCTGCCTTTGTAATGAGATTGTCTTGTTTGTTGTAATGTCATTTAAATTATCGATGTTGTGCCTAATCACTTTATAATCAGTTTTAATTGTTGTTAAACTTAAAACACATCAACACCAACTAAATGGATTTTTTTTTTCGAAATTGTTTCCATTCATGCTTAAGTATGTTAACGTTTTTATTTTTTGCTGTAAAAAGCGTTACTGTGGAATTAATTGCTACCGGTGATGAAGTGTGGAGACAATAGCAAAAAAATAGCATTTTAAAATAAATGATTAATTAGCAAATATTTTCCCTGGGAGAATAATTTTAAATTTGCTGGGGTTATGTAGTGAGTTTTAAGGGAACTGTTAAATTGACAACTTTTAAAATGAAAATTTTGTTAACAGACTAATCTTGAAACTAGGCTATATACTGGACTATGGACTAGACTATAGACCAGGCTATAGACTGAACTGTAAACTAGACTATAGACTATATTATAGACTACAGTATGGACTAGAGTATAGGCTAGTCTATGGACCAGAATATAGGTTATGCTATAGACTAGACTATGGACTATAGACTAGAGTACGGACTAGACTATAAACTGGACTATGGAATAGACTGTAGACCAGACTGTAGACTGGACTATAGACTAGACTAGACTATAGAATAGACTATAGACTAGACTATAGACTAGACTATAGAATAGACTATAGACTAGACTATAGACTAGACTATAGACTAGACTATAGACTAGACTATAGACTAGACTATAGACTAGACTATAGACTAGACTATAGACTAGACTATAGACTAGACTATAGACTAGACTATAGACTAGACTATAGACTAGACTAGACTATAGACTAGAATAGACTATAGACTAGACTAGACTATAGACTAGACTATAGACTAGACTATAGACTAGACTATAGACTAGACTATAGACTAGACTATAGACTAGACTATAGACTAGACTATAGACTAGACTATAGACTAGACTATAGACTAGACTATAGACTAGACTATAGACTAGACTATAGACTAGACTATAGACTAGACTATAGACTAGACTATAGACTAGACTATAGACTAGACTATAGACTAGACTATAGACTAGACTATAGACTAGACTATAGACTAGACTATAGACTAGACTATAGACTAGACTATAGACTAGACTATAGACTAGACTATAGACTAGACTATAGACTAGACTATAGACTAGACTATAGACTAGACTATAGACTAGACTATAGACTAGACTATAGACTAGACTATAGACTAGACTATAGACTAGACTATAGACTAGACTATAGACTAGACTATAGACTAGACTATAGACTAGACTATAGACTAGACTATAGACTAGACTATAGACTAGACTATAGACTAGACTATAGACTAGACTATAGACTAGACTATAGACTAGACTATAGACTACTAGACTAGACTATAGACTAGACTATAGACTAGACTATAGACTAGACTATAGACTAGACCTATAGACTAGACTATAGACTAGACTATAGACTAGACTATAGACTAGACTATAGACTAGACTATAGACTAGACTATAGACTAGACTATAGACTAGACTATAGACTAGACTATAGACTAGACTATAGACCTAGACTATAGACTAGACTATAGACTAGACTATAGACTAGACTATAGACTAGACTATAGACTAGACTATAGACTAGACTATAGACTAGACTATAGACTAGACTATAGACTAGACTATAGACTAGACTATAGACTAGACTATAGACTAGACTATAGACTAGACTATAGACTAGACTATAGACTAGACTATAGACTAGACTATAGACTAGACTATAGACTAGACTACAGACATGACCACAGACTAGACTAGACTATAGACTAGACTACAGACATGACCACAGACTAGACTAGACTATAGACTAGACTATAGACTAGACTATAGACTAGACTATAGACTAGACTATAGACTAGACTATAGACTAGACTATAGACTAGACTATAGACTAGACTATAGACTAGACTATAGACTAGACTATAGACTAGACTATATACAAGACTATAGACAAGACTATAGACTAGAGGTTAGACTATTGACTATAGACTATATTATGGACTAGACTATAGACTATATTATGGACTAGACTATAGACTAAACTATAGACTGCTAAGCTTTAAGTTTCATAAAAAAACTTTAAGCTTTCTGTAAAACTTACTAAAATATTAAGGAATTTTACCCCCCAATTACTTTAAATCTCGGGCCAACTAAAAGTACATTTTTAGTTTAAACTATAATAAATCTTTTAACATTATTTATTCTAATTAATTATTCCGTTTTCTTACGTTTCGTTCTTTTTTTTTTTCTCTCACACACTGACCCTGTTCTTTTCTTTCTACAATTCTCATTTATCTCAACATTTTGTTGCCAAGTCTAGTTACTTTTTATCCATACAAAATGTGGCTAAACATGTTTATTTTTAGCAAAAATATGAATATGTATATGTATGTAATGTAATTTAACGGTTATTGAACTTTGTTTATAAACATTTTCTACACGAAAGTGAGTCATTTGCTTGAGGATTTTGTGTAAAAGAAAATTCTATGGAAAAAAAGTTTATTTTTAAAAACTACTATGTACAACTACACGAAGTAGTAGTAAAACTTGAAACATGTTGCTAAACATAAAAAAGCTAAAAAAGTATATTTTGTAAAGTGTGTGAGAGAGAGTGAAGTGAGAGAGAGAGGTAGTTTTGTAAACATAAACAGCTGTTACTAAGTTACAACAAATTATAACGTAAAATTCTGTTTTTTTTTTTAAGTTCTCCAGATACAGCAAGAAATTTGTGAATTTTGAGAGAGAAACAGAGAGAATTTATGTTGAAATTATAGAAAAAGAGAGTAATATTTACACTCTTGTAATACAAAATGCATTGAAATATTTTCTTTTTGGATTTTCTTTTCCATTTGTTGTTTTGTTTTTATTATTATTATTTCTTTATCTTTCTCCATTTTTTACCCAACAACCAACCCATTTGGTGGCTGGCCTAACTTTTGATGTTGTTGTGAGTGTTTATTTGTGTGTTGTTGTTGCTGTTTTTCGTCTGTTTTTGCTGGATCGATAATATAAAATGTTTTCCACTTTTCCAAAAACAGTTCAGTCTTTAACTTTAACTTGCTGCGTTCACATTACACAAACCGTGTGTTAACGTCAAATTTTTTTAAAACTTCAATAAAATAAAATATAAAAAATTAAAACAGATTTTTTTAACAAAAAAAAGTATAAAAAGTGTTCTTCCATTTAACAAAAATCTAAATAATTTTTTTAACTTAAAATAACCAAAAAGCTTTTAAAAGAAAACGAACTGTTTTATAGAAAATTTTTAATAAAAAAAGGCATAAAATAAAGCAAAATCTTTGTGAGTTGGAAACAAAAGAAACAAATGGACTTTTTAAACAAAATAAACTGTGAAATATTTTTTTGAAAATAAAAATTATAGAAAATTTTGTACAAATCTTAGTGTGTGGGTATTGCATAAAAAGTTTGATGCTTTTTTCTTTTGTAAAACTCCCTTTTTAAGCATCCTGGAGAAAAAGCTTTCAGCAGAGAGTTTATCACAAACAATAGAAATGTTAAATATTTTATCAATATTAAATAATATGTCCTTTATTTGAAGGATTTTTAGCCCTCTTTACTTCCCGCTCCTAAATATATAAACAAGCTGCCTCTTGTTATACTTTTAATTCCTAAGTTTGCTCTCGTTTTACTCCCTAGAGAGCAGCATGTTAACCAACCTAAGGATGCTGCTGTTGTCCTTTTTGCTTTACACTTAAATATTGATTTTCCCCCAAATTTATAAAAAAAAAAAATATTTCACAGCTTTTTTGTTAAATTGTTTGAAAGGAAATTTCCTTTTTTTAATTCTCCTTATTTTCTTTTTAAATTCTTTTAACTAGATTTATTTCTTGTTTTTTTAAACAAAACAAAAAAGTTTGATAACTTTAAATTGTTATCCTTTTATTGGGCGTTTTGAGTCCTTGTTAATTTATTTATTACCCACACATACAAATAAACAAACACACACAGAAAAATGGCCGCATATGCTGCATTCAAACATGTTGAACTGTACAATGTTGGCAAAACCAAAAAGAGGTAAGTTTTCCCCCAAAAACCTTAAAAAGTTTTAAGAAAAATTAAAAATTTTTAAAAAATATTTTTCTAAATTCTAAATTTTTACATATTTTTGCTACAAAATCTAAAGACTTTCAATACCAATTTTGCAATATTTAAGAGGAAGTTGGTGAAACTTTCTTTTTAAAAATAATTTTACAAAAAGTCAAAATATTTTTTTCAAAATCTTATAAATAACAACTTTAACTTCTAAAATCCTAAAAAACTTTTTCAAAATATGTACATATTTTTGCTAAAACTTCTAAACAAACTTAACAACAAATTTTGAAAATTTAAAAAAAAAGTTAAAATATCTTTTAGAAAAATTTTTATATAATTTTACTAAAATTCAATATATTTTTTCAAAATCTTATAAACAACAACTTTAATTACTGAAATCTTAAAAAACTTTTTTAAAATTTTTTAATTAAAAAAAAAAAATATCGAACTTTAAAACCAAATATTTTAATTTGGAAAATTTTAAGAAAATAGTAAAATTTTCTTTTAGAAATTTTTTTATATAATTTTACTAAAATTCAAAATATTTTTCAAAATCTAATAGATAACAACTTAAACTATTGGCAACCATAAAAACATTTTCAAAATTTTTGCACTTTTTAACAAAAAAATTTAAAGAACATAAAAAAGCATAAAAAAGTAAAATTTTCTTTTAAACAATTTTTTATATAATTTTACTAAAATTCAAAATATATTTTCAAAATCTGTTAGAAAAGAACTTAAACTATTGGCAACCATACAAAGTTTTTCAACATTTTGCATTTTTTTACAAAAAAACATCTGTTGAACTTTAAAACCAAATATTTTATTTTTGAAAATTTTCATAAAATAGTAAAATATTCTTTTAGAAAAATTTTTATATAATTTTACTAAAAGTCAAAATATTTTTTTAAAAACTGTTAGAAAACAACTTAAACGATTGGTAATCATAAAAAGTTTTTCAAATTTTTACCAAAAAATCTATTGAACTTTAATACCAAATAACTTATTTTTGAAAATTGGCAAAAAAAAAAAGTTAAATTTTCTTTTGAAAAAATTTTGTATATAATTTTATTAAAATTCGAAATATTTTTTTCAAAATCTAATAGATAACAACTTTAACTACTGAAATCCCAAAAACTCTTTTTTCCCTGTTGAACTTTAATACCAAATATCTTATTTTGGAAAATTTGCAAAAAAAAGTGAAATTTTCTTTTAGAAATTTTTTCATATATTTATACAAAAGTCAAAATATTTTTTCAAAATCAGTTAGAAAAACAGTTGAACTATTTAAAATCATAAAAACTTTTTCAAAATTTTTAAATTTTTTACAAGAAATCTATTGAAATTTATTACAAAATATAATTTTTTTGCAAATTTTTAGAAAAAAGTGAGACTTTCTAATAGAAATTTTTTTATATATTTTTCCAAAAAATCAAAATATAAAATCTAAAAGATAACAACTTAAACTTTTAAAATTCCCAAAAATGTTTATAAAATTTTTACAAATTTTTGCTAAAAATCTAAAAAAATTAATTTTTCTTTTAGAAAAATGTTCGTATCTTTTTACAAAAAGTCAAATTATTTTTTTCAAACTTAATAGATGACTTAAATAATTGAAATCCTCAAACAATTTTTCAAAAATTTTACATATTTAAAAAAAAAAAATTAAAATTTTTAAAATATAAAAAAAATTTTTTTGTCATGACATTAATGTCAATACATTTCTTTCTTAACATTAGTTTATACAAAATCGATAACATTACAAATTTCAAAGCAGCAAAAAGAAATCTATTAAAATAAATCTCAGTAATGACATAAATCATTAAGCATAAAACTAATAAGTTTCCTAACTATCTAAAAAATATAGAAGAATATTTATGTCATAATATGTATTGGTGTGACATATTTAGGTTTTTACTTTTATATTCTGATATAAATTTCAAGAAATATTTTAAAAATCGAAAAAACGTTCAAGACCTATATGTTGAGATAAAACAAAAATGCATCCTGATATTAATGTCAAGGCATTAATGTCTTAACATTAATTACTTTAAAATAAACTTTCAAAAACTTTAAACAAAAAATATAAAATCCATACGAAATTAAACTTAAACTTTAAAGCTTCAAGAACAGACAAGAAAACAAAACAAGAAACCTAAAAAAATCCCTGAAATTATTGAAGGATATTTATGTCATAACATAATATAATCTTAACATTTATATTCTGATATAAATTTTTGTGAAATATTTAAAAAAAAATATGGATCTTTCAAGAATAAGATAATGTAATTAAAATAAAGAAAACATCTTGATTTTGTCATTAATATCAAGATATCATACGTCAAAAATATTTATTAATGTCTTGACATTTATATTCTGACATAAATTTTGAAAAGTATTTATAAAGTCTAAACGTTTTAAGAACAAAATGGTGAGTTAAAACGAAATTTGTAATGGATCTTGACATTAATGTCAAGATATAAATGTCTTAACATTAGTTTCAGATAAACTTTTAAAATCATAAATTCTGTAAGAAATAAAACTTTAAAACTTCAAAAAGAAACCTAAAGTAAAACATTAAACCTAACATAAGTCAAACATATTAATGGCTTGACAATTATATTCCGACATAAATTTTGCAAAATATTTAAAAAATATAAACGTTTTAAGAAAAAGAATATATATGTCATACCATAAGGCAGACATTACAAACTTTACATTTATATTCTGACATAAATTTTGCAAAATATTTAAAAAGCCTAAAACTTTCAGGAACAAAATGATGAGATAAAACAAAAATTCCTATTAATCTTGACATTAATGTGATGATATAAATGTCTTAACATTAGTTTGAGATAAACTTTTAAAATTATAAATTTTATAAGAAATTAAACATTAAAACCTCAAGAAGAAACCTTAAGCAAAACATTAATCCAAAACTGATTACATGTCTTAACATAAGTCAAATATATTAATATCTTGACATTTATATTCTGACATAAATTTCAAGAAATATTTAAAAAGTCTAAAAGTTTTAAGAAAAAAACATTTAGACTTTAAAAAAAAAAAATTATGAGAAAACATATTAATATTGATCTTGACATTAATGTCAAGATATAAATGTCTTAACATCAATTTCAGATAAACTTTTAAAATCATTCAGGAAGTAACCTAAAGCGGTGGCGTGTCATAATGTCCAATGTCATAATGTCCATAGACGTTATGACGCACTAAATTGAGTCATAATGTCCATGGACGTTATGACAATTTCAAAAGTGTTACAATGTCCATGAGCAATGGGACATAAAGTCCATGGATTTCAAAGAGTCCATTTATCAAAAAAGGCTTAATTTAGCGAAGCCGGTGTTCGAAATACCCCAGTTTGAAACCCCTGCGCCCGGCCGAAAGCCGGCTATCCAGGACACTTTTTAATAGGAGTCCAAAATGTAACAATTACCAAATTTAGGAGCAATTCTTTTCGGGATAAGAGCGTCCCTATCTTAAATTTTAAACAAATTTTCCAATACATTTCTGATTTCAAAGTGTCACAATGTCCATGGACATTATGACATTTTAAAAAAGTGACATAATGTCCATGGACGTTATGTCATTTTTTGGTGTGTCATAATGTCCATGGACATTATGACATTGGACATTATGACATGCCACCACCTAAAGCAATACATTAAACCTATAACTTATTCTCTAAATTAGGAAGGATATTGGTATATGTTATACCATAAGCCAGACATATTTAAGTCTTGAAATTTATATTAAGATATAAATTATAAGAAAAGTCTGAAACTTTCAAGAACAAAATAAAACAAAAATTCCTATTGATCTTGACATTAATGTCATGATATAAATGTCTTAACATTAGTTTGAGATAAACTTTTATAAAACATTCAAGAAGAAACCTTAAACCTATAACTAATTCTCTAAATCCCTCCCTAAGTTACGGAAGGAAATTTAGGTCATATCATAAGCCAGACATAATAAAGTTTTGACATTTATATTAAGACATAAATTTTAAGAAATATTTAAAAAAAATCTAAAACTTTCAGGAACAGGTTAACCCAAATGTAATGTGATAAATCAATGAATCATTTTGACATTTATGTCAAGATATAAATGTCTTAATATTAATTTTCAATAAATTTCTTTATTTTTTATATTTTTCTTTAGATTAAAAATAATTATATTATAAAAAAAGGAGTGGGACTGGGAACGAATGGCTATTTCCGTTTGTAACATAATACAGCTTTATTTATATGGAAAAAAATAATCAACCCTAAAAGCTTTTCTACCATTTTACAATGAATTTTATTTATAAACATTTTGCTTCTTCTTCTATCTGCTTATCTTTTAGCTCCATATCAATTTCAATTATCCCACAACTGACAACGTAACAACCTTGACTTTTTGGAAAAGAAGATAAGCAAAATTTGACCTTTAAATACAACCACCCACCACCATTTTTTGGAATTTTTTTTCAAATACTTAAAATGGTTTTTTATGATTAATAAAATAAGCTTTAGTTTAATATAATTTATCAGGCAAATTGATGATGTTTGTATTACCTTAGATTTAAATAACCACCCTCGTTTGTTTGGTGTTACTTTTTTATAAAGAATTTCTTGTTTTAAAACATCATCCCCCTTAATATAATTGGGCTATAACAACTAAAAAAACACGACTTTTGGACAATACGCTGCATGTTGATGTAAACAAAAACAACAACAACAATTTTACAAATTTTTATTTTGAAAGGTTTCTTTTAATGATATTTTGTGTTACAGTTAAAAAAATGAAATTTTAAATTGGGGATGGACTTAATCTAGCAACAATTTTTCTGTCAAATCAACCAAGCATTTCACTGCGGCAACTAACTATTTAACATACGTTTTAACTAACCTCACTTTTTCATAGACTGTCAGTCAGACAACTGACATATGGTCAAGTTTTGACAAGTCTCTGATATT